GGAGTAATGCCTCAAAAGGTTGTCATTCCTATCATCAGTATGGCCCATATGAAGAAGAAGAAGAAGCTAAGGAAAATGTTTGTCCCTGCAGAAGAAGGAAAAGAAGTGGTCTTGCCTCGGGAAGAGAAGGTTTAAGAAGTAAAGCAGCTGTGTCAAGAACAAATGATATGACCTGTAAAAATTGGAGCAGAAATATTAACATTTGCACTCAAGGATAAGGTTATGCATATCCTTCTGAGGATGAGACTTTCTATCGTCAAATCAAAGAAGTTGAAACTTATATCTCCAACTATTTTGAGGAAAGAAGAAGAATTGTCTGGTTATCAAACAATTGGTCCAGAAGCTGAAGAAAAGAAGGAAATTGTTGCTAAAGTCTCTCCAGATCCTGACAAAATCACTAGTACGTGTCTGCATTCTGTCCCTGAGAACAATCTAGAATCTTCCACTCCCCTCAATCATATCTCACAAACTCCTTCTGAATCATCTGAACATACTCTGTCAGAAAATATTATGACTTCATATGATTTAGATTCCCATACCATTGCTCAAGTTTTGGAACCTTCAAGGCATCATCTGCTTTAGACAATCTGTCTAGACATTTAGGTGGTGACTTTATCATAGAATCTGAACTTCCCTCTCTAAAGAACACCATGTATGATCTTGATCAGATCAAGGATCCTATCCAAGAAATTCCTGTCAATCCCCAACAATCTATCACCTCCTCAACCAATCCTAAATCATCCTTATCATCTAGCTTTGGTTATCCATAATCAAAGCTTTCACCCTCTAAAAAACTATTAATTTTGTACCTGTACCTGTAGCCGATCTTGTTCAAGCTGATCCTGCACCTAAAACGCATATCAAACCTTATCAAGATCCTTCTTCAGCAGAAAACGGATCTAGAATTATGGAAATACCAGTTCTTTTCTTTGAAGTAAGATCCTCACCGAAACTTTCACATCCTCTAAAATTTGTACCCTCAAACCTTCCCTTCCTTATTTAAAACCACATGGGAGAATGTGGAACTGTTCTTTTGGATAAAATGAAGGAACTAGTTAATGAGAGACTCACATTATCTGATTTTGTTGCTTATGTTTCCAAGGGGATTCTCTCGTAACTTATGTGGTTTCCATGTTATCGAACCTGAAAAATCTATCTTATGATTCTGTAGCTTAGACTTGTCAGAAGGAAGAACCTTTAGAAACCAAACTCGCTTCTGTTGCTGGTATTTAAGTAGAAATGGTTTCAAAACAAGAAGAGATGGATAAACAAATGAATGATGTGATGAGAAGACAACATGAGATTGGGTTTGATATCAAAGCTATCCTAGAACTTCTGAAGAAAAATCCTAGGCCTTAGGACTCTAGTTTATCACTTGTCTTTTTGCATTTTTTAATCTTTTTGAACATCTGTTTTTTTGTTAAATGGATTGGTTTTATCTCCAGTCTCTTTTATGTTCTTAATTATCATTTTTTGATGACAAAAGGGGGAAAAAAGGATAAATATTTAAGCATTTGAACATGATTGTATTAAATATGTCCACGTTTAATTTTGAAGATTCATATTATTGTGCTTCAATGAAAAATTTAATTAACATGGCTAGGACTTAGGGGGAGTTTACAAACCTCACCCTTAGGACTTTCATACTTAATGTGAACTTACAAACATAAGACCTTGAAGTCATATTGTTTATTAAATCAATAACCAATATTCTTAAATACACGTGGTTTCCATCATCAAAAATGGGGAGATTATTGGAACAAAATTGGTGTATACCATATCCCTTAGGAACAAAATTGGTGTATACCATATCCCTTAGGTTTTGATGATAACAAAGTCTTTGAAGAACAAGTGGATAGACTAATGTGTGTTCAAATGTGCAGGTACAAAGATCAAAGAGAAGTTACTCTTTCAAAACAAAGAGCACAATCTAGCTTAGAACTTCTTAACCTTGTACATTCTTAGAAGTTCTTAAGTCTTAGAGTTTTTCTGTGTTGTAATCTGTTTACACCTCTGATTGAATATCAAGTGTAACTATCACTCTATCTCTATCACATATCTGTTAGATAGATTGTTAGAAGTCTCTTTCCTGTGTGCTTGAGTAATGAAGTATATTACCTACGTACTTCATAAACTAAGTCTCGTGCATGTGTGCTTGAGTAATGAAGTATATTACCTGCGTACTCATAAACTAAGTCTCGTGCATGTGTGCTTGAGTAGGGAAGTCTCTTGCTAGTGTGCTTGAGCATTTATGAAGTCTCTTGCTTGTGTGTTTGAGCATTTGTGAAGTCTCTTACTTATGTGCTTAAGCATTTTGTGAAAGTGTCTTGCTTGTGTGCTAGATAATTTATGAAAGTCTCTAGCTTGTATGCTTGATCATTTGTAAAGTCTCTTGCTTGAAAGCTTAAAGCAATCATAAGTATCTTTCTTGTATGCTTGAGCATTAAAGTTCCTTACTTGTGTGTTTGGGCATTAGAAGTCTCTTACTTATGGGCTTGAATAAAGTGTAATCAGATTCAGTTATAGTTAAAATCTCTTGGAAGTGCAAGGGGACTGAACTACTCCTGATTTGTAGAAGGAACCGAGATAAATTGCTTCTGTGTTGTATTGCTCTATTCTTTACTTCTGCTTTAGTTTACTCCACTGCTATCCATCTGATTCTGAGTCAGATTCTGAACCATCAGAGTCTGATATCAAATCTTAAGAAAAAACATAGAAAGTCAACACAATTCATCTCCCTTCTTCAATTTTTCTCACCTTGATGAAGGGGGAATTGATAGTTCCAATTTTTGGTAGCAATGAATATACCAAGTATCACTTCAATGTAGTTGTCCCCCTCTTTATTATTGTTCCAAGTATGCATAACACCTATGAACTCTATATCACACAAAGAACAATCAGCCAAAATGTTATTAAAAGCATTTGTAATATTGAGATTAATGCGGTTGTCTCCCAATTTCTTGTGATGACTAGTAATAAGATTAAAACCACCAAACATCACCCAATTCAAGAAGTCACATCTTTGAGCCAAGTTATCAATGAGATTGCAAGTGAGAATTTGTTTGATTTTTTATTAGGATACCCATACATCCCAACCCCTCTCTAGTAATAGTTATTGTTATTATTATCATTATGGCACACAATGTAAAAATCAACGAAATGCTGATTAGAATCCAAAATATGTAAATTTACATCTTTGCACCGTAGCAAAGCTAAACATACAACTTTACCTCCCGCTAGAATTGCAATCTATATGATGAATATTGTTTAAGATACCAATGTTCATTAAACCACAAAAAACTTTATTGTCATTACACATTTTAGTTTCACACAAAAACAAAATATCAGGAGAGTTTAGGGAAATCATCTGATTCGAGGCTCTAAAAGAATAAGGTAATAAAATGCTAATTTTCTTGAGTATGTGGATTCACACAAAACAATGTAAACAACTCCATTTTCTTCCAAGAAACTTAATAATAAAAGAGCATTATCATAATTAATCAAATTTTTGTTGAATCTCAACTAAAGAAATTAGAGAGAGAGAAAAGTGATGGTCAATGATGATTAAAGAAGTTAAAAAAACAGAGAAGAAAAATAGAAGAAAAAAAATTATAATAAGAATACTTGAAGCTATAATGGTCAATGAGAATGGTCATCATGGAATGTGACAATGCTCCTTTTGAAATTTCTTGGAGTATAAACTCAGCTTGTTGCTTGTAAGATGAAAGATAGGAATTTTCTTCATTCACATATCTTTGTCCTCGTGCTAGAGTTATCTTAACCATTATCTATGAATAGCTCAAATGAATGATTTGGTTCTCCTTTCTAAATTTGACTTAAGCTACATATATAAATGGATTTTTTGTGTGATTATGAGGGTGTTTTTTAGAGAATACGTATGAGGAAGGAATGACTTATGAGAGAGGGAACTTGAAAAATAAGGTATTCCTAATGTGTCTATAAAGGAACATTTTGAGAATAGAAAAGATAATTGCATTATCACATTGTTTTAAATTGCAATTCACAATATTATTGTTGATGCGGCAATAAATTTGGACTGTATTTGTATTGTGATTTGAAATCACACGTTCTTTTAAATTAGGAACCGCATTAGATGACTTTGCTAAAATTTCTTCTAATATTTTTGTCTAAACTCAAAATTTAAACCACAAAATTCAATTTATTTATGAGAAACAAACATTATGTGTTTTCTAACCTTGTATTTCAAACTCTTCTAATCAAAATTTACCATGTAACGACCATAAACTATGAAATAAAAGTTTATATAGTAGTTAATGGATGATGACGGATTTGATCCTTTACTTTAATTGTTTTTTTTCTTTTGACATTAAGAATTAAAGGTAAACTTAGACTAGAGGCCTTTAAGTTATATTTTTGGTAATAGATTGGTCCTTTAAATTATCAAATGTATGTTGTTACTCTTTTTTAAGAGAGTGAATGTGTTAATTATGAATATAATTATTTTGAGTGGTATGAAGATGATGAAGTGTCACCATAAATACAACAGTTACATATTTTTAAATGTTCAAAATGCGAGAAAAATGATGTAGAAATTACCCTAAAAAACCAAATTATTAAAAAAACTTAAATGATCAACTTGTTACAAAAAAAAAACTTAAAGGATCTCTGGTATAATTTTGTCAAAATTAAATTACAAAAGTTGAATGTAGATTCGATCCCACGATCTTAATATAATTTTTTTGTTAATAAGCAATATTACATTTGTATAATCTAATATTAAACAAATAATAAAATGCCCCTAAATATTAAAGGCCATGTGCAATGTGTTGAGATTGTAATTCCTTGTGTCAAAGTATGTTGCTCGACAGACGAAAAGTAGTGGCGAAATAACTTAGTGTGTCGAAGTTGTGTGGTTGTTAAAAACTCGAAGGGGTTAGCCTCGACAAGGATTTTGACTTAGCTTTATTTTGTAATGTTAGCAGAATTAGGTTATTTGAGAGTTTGCTTAAGGAGCAAGTGAAGGTAGAGAAAAACACAAGAAATGGGAGTTTGACTTGAGTTTTCAAAACTTTTCCCTTTTAAAAACTATTTGATAAAACTATGAAAGAATATAGAATGCTAGAAATATAAAGAGACACATTTAGTTTATCCAAATTCACTTTCAACAAGGCTACATCTTGACCATCCTCTTCAGATGATTTTGCATTAGACAGGGACTTAATCCACTAATCTCAACAGATTACAGATGCATGGGCTACCCGTCGGTGACTAACAACAACAATAATCATACACTTAGTGATCCTTTAAGAATTTTGACCTACTCCGTCTCCTAAGAGATATAAAGATCACTGACCCCTCAAGGATTCTGATCTATCTGGTCCCTTAGAAAGGATTTCATCTACAATGACCAGATGTCAAAGTCTTCTCAAATATATAGATTTTCACTCTATCACTTGAAGCATCAATAATTCTAGAAATAATTGTTTCTAGAGATTACAAGAATGCTTCTTAACAAGCAGATTTCTCCTAGTTTAAGTACTTGATAAAACACGCAAGTGTTTAGCAAGATATCATATGAACAACAACTCCTTGCTTTTACATAAATCTACAAAGATGAATATAAGCTAAGTTTGAGTTCAGCATCTTGTAGAGTTCTTCATCTTCATCATCTTCTTCTTCTTTATTTTCATATTTTCTTTTTATCTCTCTCTCTCTCTCTCATTGTAGTTGCTTTTGTTAAATTGTAATCCAATGTGTCGAAACTATGTGTCGAAAAGATTTGATTTGTTTTAGATTTAAATAGATTTGATTTAAGTCTAGAATAAATTAGATTTGATTTAGTAACAAAAAGATATTTTGGGCTTTGGGCTTAGGGTGTAAGCTCGGTTATAAATAGAGGGAGTAACCCCTATTTTTGTAATCAAGTCAAGCTAGTTGTATTCACAGAATTTGCAGTTGCAAGTGAATAACAAAGTTTTCACAGTTTGTGAGCAGAGAGAAACTCTGCAGAAATATTTATCTTGTCTTCTTTTCTTTGTTTGTCTCATAATTAAATTGTCATTGTGGTAGAAATTCATCATAGAGTTTTGGTGGATTTCCAACATATGGTATCAGAGCTTTTGTTTCGATTTAAGGGAATTGTCAATCAAGAACGATTGAAGAATTCACGATGACAAGTTATGGGAATGCAAACTATCCAGCAACGCTACCAATTCTGAAAGTTGACAACTATGAGAATTGGTGCAAACAGATGAAAGTCTTATTCAGGTGTCAAGGTCTTTGGGACCTTGTAAAATATGGAGTCGAAGCGCTTGAAGAAAACGCTTCAGAAGAAGAAAAGAAGAAATACACAGAATCTGAGAAGTTGAGTTATAAAGCATTATTTATAATTCATTAATGTGTCAGCCCAGACAATTTCGAAAAGGTTAGTGATTCAGAATCTGCAAAAGAAGCTTGGGAGATCCTTGAGAAGTCTTTTGGAGGCGCTGAGAAGGTGAAAGAAGTGAGGTTACAAACTCACAAAAGGACGTATGAACTGCTTCAGATGGAAGACAGTGAAAGCATATCTGATTTCTTCACTGGAGTTACAAAACTAGTAAATCAAATCAAGATATGTGGAGAAGCATTAACAACAAGAGCTTGTGTCGAAGATCTTGAGATCTTTAGCTCCTAATTTCGACCACATAGTGGTGGCGATAGAAGAGGGGAAAGACTTGTCGAAATTGACAAAGGAAGAGCTTCAAGGGACGCTTGAATCTCATGAACAAAGAATGAACGAAAGAGTTGCAGGCAAATCGAAGAGTGATGTGGCCTTGCAGGCACATTCAGCAAAAGAGACCAAAGGCAGAGGAAAGTGTTTCGACAAAGGTAGAGGTGGCTACAACAGATCGAGTGGTAGAGGAAACCAGATTGAAGGAAATGTGTCGAATCAAAGAAGACCATACCAACGTAACCAAAGATGTGGTGTTGAAAATAGAGGAAGAGGTGGTGGTCGAAAACCTGATAAGAGTCACATTCAATGTTACAATTGTCAGAAGTATGGACACTATGCGAGTGGTTGTCCAGAAAAACGAAAGAATTAAGAAAGTGATGCAAAGCTTGCAAAACATGAAGAAGAAGAGATGATGCTGATGGTCACAACAAGAGATGAAGATAGATTCAAGGACCAATGGTACTTGGATTCAGGATGTTCATCACATATGTCTGGAAGGAAAGACTGGTTCGTCAATATAAAACCCTCAATGAAAAATATGGTAAAATTTGCAAATGACAATACCCTAGAAGCTGAAGGTATTGGTGATGTTATGATTATGAGGAAAGATGGCAAGAGGTCAGTAATTTCCAATGTATTGTACATACCAGGCATGAAGAGAAATTTGCTCAGTATAGAGTAGTTGGTCGAAAAGAATTATAAAGTGTCAATCGAAGATAAGATGATGAGAGTCGTTGATGCAAATGGGAGATTAATCTTGAAGGCTCCTATGTATCATAATCGAACCTTCAAGATTGAACTAAATGTGATGGAGCACAAGTTCCTTTCGACTGCAGCTAGCAGAGATGAATGGATATGGCATTATAGACTAGGCCATCTCAACTTCAGAGACATCATATATTTGAAGAGAAGAAATATGGTTTCAAGATTGCCATAAATTGACATTCCAAACGAGGTATGTGAGGAATGTGTGCAGGCGAAGCAACACAAGAATAGCTTCAGCAAGGATGCAGGAAGCAGATCGAAGGCTAGTCTTGAAGTCATATACTCTAATGTATGTGGACCAATCCAGGTGGATTCGATGGGAGGTAACAAATACTTTGTTACATTCATAGATGATTTCAATCGAAAGCTATGTACTTATCTGATCAAGAAGAAAAGTGAAGTGATTGAAGTATTTACCAAGTTTAAGTCTATGGTCAAAAGACAAAGTGGTTGAAAGCTCAAAGTTTTGAGAACTGATGGTGGTGGAGAATATGTGTCGAAAGACTTCGACAGATTATGTGAAAAGGAAGGGATTGTACATGAGGTGGTGCCACCCTATACTCCACAACAAAATGGAATTGCAGAAAGGAAATATCGAACCATCATGAATATGGTGAGAAGTATGTTGAAAGGCAAGAATTTACCTAAAGAGTTTTGGGGTGAAGTTGTTTCGACTGCAAGATACATTTTGAACAGATGTCCTACAAAGAAGCTAGAAGGAATTACTCCAGAAGAATGTTGGTCTGGTGTGAAGCCTAGCTTGAGTCATCTGAAGGTATTTGGATCTATTGCACATAGACATGTGCTAGATCAGTTGAGAAGAAAACTTGATGATAAGTCAAGTTAAATGATTCTAGTTGGATATCATTCGACAGGAGGCTACAAGTTGTTCGATCCAGTGAAAAAGCAGATTGTGATCAGCAGGGACGTGATCATAGATGAGTTTAAAGAATGGGATTGGACTGATAATGTCAAGAAAGATTCAGTGGGAATCCTTCTTGAAGAGCCAGAAACTCAAGTCAAAAGAGAAGTTCGACAAGAGGAACCAGCAAATATACCAAGTACAAGCAGGCCTCAAAGAACAAGATGCATGCCTGCAAGATTGCAAGACTGTGTGATTACATCAGATGATGTAATAGATAATGAAGGTGATCTGGTACATTATGCTTTCTATGCAGATGTCGAACCTATTAATGCAGCTGAAGCATTAGAGGATTCGAAGTGGGTGAAAGTAATGAACGAATAAGTAAAGTCTATCGAAGACAACAACACTTGGTCACTTGTCGAATTGCCTCAAGGCAAGAAGGCAATTAATGTCAAGTGGGT